CCCCCCCTCTAACAAAAAAAGCCTTACCTTATCCTCAAGGTGGAATGCAAGGAACTCCTGCAGCATGGACCTGTCTAACAGCTATATTGCTATTAACAGCAATCAAAAGGCCTAGTAAAATAAGTTTTATGTTTTCTAGCATGAATTACACCCAAAAAATTATACGAAACTTGCTGCAAACAGAAGAAGAGGATAGAATTTGAGAGAAAGAGTTATCTATAACAAGAAACAACAATTAAGGTACCGTTATTTTGATTAATAGAAAATTGTTTCTCCTTAAAAAATTTCTATATCTTTTCTTATCTACTCTAGCCTCTTATTATGAGCCTATGCAATAACGTTGAAAGGTTGTCAATGAATCAAGGTGGTATCATAACACCAATCATTGGTGCAGAGTACAGAAAAGAGAGGATATAAAGCTATAAAATAGGGCAATTTCTTGTCTTGGAGTCGCATCAAAGCCAAGAAAGTGGTAAGATTTAGAAGAATAAAAAGAAAATCAAGCAATAGTAAGGAGACGCAAGAATTATCTAAAGAAGGGCCTTCCTTCTCCTAAAGAAATAAGGAATAAAAGACCAATGAAAGCCTTTCCGCTTTAAGAAACCATGTCTCTGGTAAGTTATATAGGTGTCAGTTAACTTAGTTGGTAAAAAAATTGATAGTTGTTACAAGATCTTGAGATCAAATTCCTCTTACATCAACTTTGTGATTCAAAATCTAAAAAAAAAAAAAAACCATTGTCGGATACCTGACCACACAAATAAAAATATTGGAAACTGCACCATAAACACTTTCTTAATAAAACAAAAGAATATATGTGAAAGAAAACACTTGTAACGGGCATCCTATTTAGTCCACAGAACAAAGCAAACCTGATGGGGACATCAGATCGTGGAAGGTTTATCAGAGACGTGGCCGCCGATCTACGGCCACGATCGAGTCTTTATATTTCTGAGTCAGTTATATTATTTTATTATTCATGTATTTTCTTATTTGCTTAGGTGTCATTTTATTATTTTCCTTTGTACCCCTTTTTGGGAGTTGTCGTATGTAAGCCCAATGGACAAGTTAGTCTTTTCTCTTTGAGTCCTTTGTACTTGACTATATATAGCCCCTTGCTTATTGTTTTGATAAATGAACGATTATTGAGATATTTTCCTCTTGCATGAGCATTGTGAGAACTTGTGAGTTCTAATGGAGAGAGATCCCTAAGATAGGGAGATTTGCGCACTACCCACCAACCTTGGAGACAGCCGGGTTCGTGGTTTTATTCTATTTCTTTTCCCCTCCTCACCATCCCTATTGCTAGTCCACCCCACCACCCAAGTCCCCATACCGCTGGCCCCATCCTCCCTAGCCGCCGACCACACTCCTCTTTCCCCCATCCAAGCTTGTTTCCTATTTTAGATTGAATTGAATATAGATAGATTTGAAATTCAAAATTAATCATTGCGAATTTTCAAAATCTTTCCTTATTTAATAAATATATTTTAGGAAAGTTCTTTAATTAACTCAATTTGAATTTCAAATTCAAATTGAATTTAATTAAGTACTTACCTAATTTTCCTAGCCTGTTAAATCTTCCCAAATCCCCTCCCAAATTTCCCTCCATTGCTCCTATTGCCGACGGCCCCATCATTGGAGTCAATTAGGATTTGTTTCCTAATCCTCCAACCTCCTTATGCAAATATTTCTAAATCCTCTTCCCCTCTATTTGGCCGAAATTTCCATCTCCCATAATTCCTCAATTAATTTCCTAATCTAAGGAATTGATTTGAGAAATCAAATCCCCACCACCATCTACCCGCCACCCCCCCTTCTTCCCCTTTTGTTCTTCTTGCCGCCTCTCTCTCCAATCATCTCTCTCCCTCTATTTTACCTTAAGTGATTCGTAGCCCTGAGTTTGCTCTTCCCAATTTCCTTCTCTTATTCAAAAATTCTGAAATCTTTCTCAGATTTTTGGAATAAAATCTGAACTTGTTTTCAGATTTTGTTGGGAAAGAGCCTTGGAGTTTATTTCCACTTCCTTTGCAAGAGGGACTTCCTTCCCATGGTCACTAATCGAGAGGAGCATCAACCGCTAAGAATCTTCTACCTTAACTCATCCATGAATGGCGGATCCGGCAACTGAGTACAGCATAAATTGGGACGACGACGGCTTCACCGACATCTTACGATCAACTTTCTTCGATGTAAACCCGAGGATCGACCACACCGTTGAAGACTACTTGGAGCGGATCCTAGATACTTTGGTGGAAGCTATTGACGAACACTTCGAATAAGGGTGTCAATATTTGACACGACACGGCAACCCGACCCGAAAAATCCGGGTTGAACCCGACCCGACCCGTTAATAAACGGGTCGGGTTCAGGTTCGCAGATTCGACCGGTTTGATAAAACGGGTCGGGTCGGGTTGACCCACCTTTTAAGATCCGGGTCGGGTCGGGTTCGACCCGAACCCGACGGGTTGACCCGAATTGACACCCCTAACTTCGAAGGCATTGAGTGGATGATCTCCACTACCCCTTGACGAAGGTTCCCCTTCTTCCTTGCATCTTTTATCTTTTAGTCTAACTTCTCTTGACTTGATTGTAGTCACGGCCGACTCTTCCACATTGTTATTGCCTAAGCTTAGTAATCGTAGGATTTGAGTGCTCCTCTATGCTTTCCAATTCTCATTGTTAGACTAGGGATTATCTTGAAAGCTACTACTATTCATTGTATTGTTTTCTAACTATTTTGGGAGTTTTTAAAGCTCTGAACATGTGATTTAAGCCTAAGCGGATAACCACTAATCGTTTTGATTCATTGTTTAAATTCTCTAGTAATTTTGTTCTAACATTATTCTAATCATAAGTTGTGCAAAATCAGTTGGAGTTAAATTGCATGTCATTTACATTGTCCAGCATCAAAACCCTTCTCTATGTCAGATGATAAAGTGGAAGGGTATAGCGATAGGAGTGTACTCGAAAGCGGAGTTATGAACACAATAAGAAATTTTCACCCTTAGTATGAGTCTATTAATGAGAAAGATGAAAAGGAGTGATTGTGCCAAAATAGATCGTCAAATATTTTATCAATATTTCAATATTTCATTGTATTGGTGATTGACCATAGAGGGGCTCCGGTATTGAATTCTTTCATTGTAATAAATACTATTTTAGATTTGTTTAGTTTTCAAAATTGTTCATAGTTAACATTTTACTTTTCTAAATGCATGAAGGTTCCCAATGAATAGGTTGAGCAATTTTCCTTGCAGAAAATATTCAAATATTGCCAAAAGAATGTTAAAGGCTTTCAGTCCAGACTCAGATCAAATGAAATCTATTCCTATTTGATGATCCAATTGGGTTTGCAACAAGTTCCAGTTGGAATACTCGCTATCATGAAATTAGCATCTAATGACTTAGACTGGATTTGACTAGACCTAAGTCTCAAGTGGTTACAACCATGTAGAACAATTTTATAAGCAAATGTAAGAGCACTCTTTTATTCAAAAAAATTGAAAAGTGTAAACTCTTAAAAATAACTTCCAAAGAACATAAATACAAAATCACCTGATTAGAACAAAGACACACTGTAGAACACCAGCAACACCAGTCCACGCAGAAGGACCTTTGTCAGTGAGCGCATCTTGCACCAACAAACCCACACCTGCTGCTAAGGAAGCAAAGGATACGACATAAGCCACAAAAAGCCAAAGCTTCAACCTGCAACATTTGGGATACAGGTTTAGAAAAACTATAAAATAGGAAAAGTAAATTCACGTACAATCATTCTTGAATTTTGGCTTTAATGATGAACTTTTCTTTAAAAACTAATAAGGCCAATTGTTCAAGTTTTGAAGATGGAGGATGCTGAGAAAAAGTCAGCTATGGGTTTCATTTATAATGCAATGAGCGAGGCTAAAGAGTTAATAACATATAACTTGGGAGGAGATGAGCGCAGTAAAAAGGAGATTTGGAGAATAATTGATGAGAAATGGAAGCTTTAACTCCATCATTTGCATGATGTTGTAATTTACTTTAATCTTCAATTCCAATAATGATAAGAATAAGTCGACCAATCCAAAGATTAAATTAGGACTATAACAATCTATAGATAGGTTGATTGCTGACTCAACTGAGAAGGTGAATGCTAGTATGCAACTTGTAACATTCAGGAATAAGGAAGATTTCTTTGGACTAAAATAAGCAAAAGATACAGTGGCAAAATGTTCTCTAAACAACTTTTAATATTATTAATTGCGCTTAAGGAAGGACTCCCCTAATTCTAGTTACAATTTTTTCTTTCAAATTTAGTTGAATTGTGATCCAGTTTGATGATGGCACTTCAAAACTACAATATTTATTTTTAAGATATTACGACTTATATGCTCATCATCTAGATATGAGTGAAACTGAAGTATATATAATCAAGTTGATATTAAAAAGAGAATTTATTTGAATAACTTAAGGACAAAAACCTTAGTATACATCATATATAACAAAAGATTAAAGGATAAAAATTTGAAGTAAAAGGGTTTCAAGGATGACGAACAACCCTTACTTTGTGATGATATGCCATCAAATGATGAACGATACATGGATGATGAAAATAAAGTCATACCCCCGATTAGCAACAATAGGTATAAACATTGATTTTTTTGATGAGGATAGAAATAAGAAAACATATCTAACAAAAAACCAAAATGAAATAAAGATAAAATGTATTTATTAATTTTCGATATTTGAAGTTTTTTTAAAAAATTTAATTAATATTCTTAATTTTTTATTAATTATTATTGATAAAGAAAGGGGAAGACAATTTAGATTAAATAATAGGAGAAAGAATGAGAGAACTTGGATACAACTAAAGATGAGGCAAGACAGATAGTCAATTATTATTATGATGAATAAAATGAAAACCACTTGACTGATGAGAGTGTTTAGGACTTCGAATTAGTTGATTATTATATCCTTAGTCGGATGTTAACCAATAGGAGTGGGAGAGATAAACTTATTCTGAATTATTATATTATAGTACTTACTCCTACTTTGTTATCATATGATATTTTGATGTTTGCATTATATCTTCACTTTGCAAAATTTAATACTTGATATTTTGAAGCTTGCATAATTTGTTACTTAATATAAACCTAATTTGAATTATCTTACTATGTTAGAATATTAACATATTATTATTTAATATATCAATAGGTAAGGATGTTAATATATAACTTCTTACTAGCAACTTAACTTTATGTGATATTTTTATTGTGGGAGCTTATGCCTCAAAATGCCTTCAGGCTTATACCTCACCTCAAGGACGAAAAATAGCTAAATATCCAATTAAGCAATTTTAAACCTGGGACAAAATGTTGTCAACCTATAGCATCATATGTTAGTGATTAGAGCATGTGTGTAAATTGGGGCCTTCTTCAATGATTGTATTCTTGGATATTAAAATTTTGTCATGGATGTTCTCACTAGGATTTAAACAAGAATTTGACTTTTAATAGGACACAATGGAGAAAAAGGATTCATGTAGCCGACCCCACGTAGTGGGATAAAGGCTTGATGTTGTTGTTGTTGTTTCTCAATATTTTTTAGGGTTTCAATCAACCTTGCTTTAAGATCCATGCTTGCATTCGGATTATAGATTTTATTGTTTGCATAAATCCTCATTATTTCTATATATTCTACTAAAAGCCCAAATCATATTTTACTTTTTAAGATATTTTGCCAACCCCGCATGGTGGGATAAATGCTTGATGTTGTTGTTGTTGTACTCTCTCCCTCTTTCCAAGTCCTTTTGTACTTGCCTTCTTCAATGTTTTTCCTCTACAACTACGAAGGGAAATGTTTGAGAACGATTAAATGTGTACCTTTAGGATTGGATTGAAGTTTAAGCTTTGATCATGCCACCTTTGACACTAAAGAAAAATGTTGATACATGTAAAATCTATATTGTCATCATCATCACCAGAGCAAAGTAAACACTCTAAATAGAAAAAAGGTTATAAACCTAAGAAATTATAATTTATTTTCCCTTAAAGAACAGGATAGATGAATACAAGAACTACTAAGAAATTTCATAATATGTACTCTTTTTTTTCTCATAAAGTAGTCATCTGGTCGAATCCCAATCCCATGCAAAGTTAAAACTTTCACCATATGCACAAGTAATAACTATAATCAATCAAACTCCTTAGTTATTCCATCAATAAAATCTAGTCATAACTCCATTTAAACATCCCAATTCATGAGTGATGTGAACAACCAATTAACCCCAATAGGCCTATATCTTAATTTCCTTACAGGAATTTGTACTTGACTGCTAACAAGGTTTGTACTCCAATGCTAACAAGGTTAAATAGTCCGCTATGTCAAAGTCATTAATAATGGGACAATCATTTTAGGTGTTTTCCCTTTGCAGGCTATCCCTCAAGTGCGGTGACTTTTAGTCAATCATAATACTAGGTCACCCTCATGCTACTACAGCAAGGAGGTGCCTCTTAATGAATCTTCCACTAAAAGCTTCAATCAAACCATTTTTACATAAGAGAGATCCTTAGATGTTAACTCTTTAGGAAGGTGCTACTAGACAAATCTTACAAACTTAATGGTGCTCCTCCCTTTATCAGAGAAATGTTTATGATTGATTTTTTTTGCCCACGAGAGCTTATATGTCCATTCCTACCCCTTATAAAAAGAAGGTTTATGGAAGCTCCCCGCCCACGAGAACCTATATGTCCATTACAACCACCTCTAATAAACATTATTTCTTCATCAAATAAGTATTATTGCAGTTCATTTGTTACTTCCCAAATATAGCTTTTAAATTATCTACTACACCAACTTGAGAAGCTTAGCACTAATAGCATCTATAATGTTTTCACAAATAATTATCCTAATAAAAATCATCTCCTCACTAAATCTATTCACCTTAACAATTTTACCTTGCAATCATCTATCCATTGCTATCTCAACTTCATTCAAATCATTAACATTTCCAACATACAACTATTTGTAACATTCTCCAATATCCATGAATGTTCCTCTTTCCATTTACTTTCTTGCAAATAAGCTATATTTATTCTTCTATTAATTATTAAGTTCAATTCTTATATCCCCATTCAATTTTTATGAACTCTATGTAGTAAATCTAATCTTAATTTTAGACTTAGTTAACTCTCGTTTACTTTTCACCACATTTGGGTTATGTTGTGGCAATTCATAAAGGGGTGATGCCCTAACCCCTAATTTTCACCACAATTTACTTATCTCCTTCTATATCACTTATGGTGACATCCTAGCAAACCCTTACCTACTTCTCACCACAACCGAGCCAAATCACGACACACCACTTCTGGGGAATTTCCTAACACTGGTAAAATTTAAATTTGATTTTCTTTCATTAGTTTTAGCATAAGCTTTGTGATTGAATGACCACCAACTTCAATTTTCTCATCTGTAGTTGATTGGCAATGAAAGTTTTGAGTATTTTCATGATGTGTAGATATTTTTTCCCCTAAGAAAATGCATGGTGTGATGCATGATTGCAACCACCAATACTAGAAGTTTTAATAAATATTTTGCATCAACACTTCAAGGGGGACTAATGATATTATTGTTTAACAATCCTCACCATAATCCCAAGAGTGCCGCCGGCGCAAAGCTTGGTAGGCCTGACACGGTGTCATGCATGAATGTGCATAGTACAATGCATTGAAGTTTATAATACAATCACAATTCCATTGTTCATCAATAAACTAAGTGATGGATGGCTTCCTTCACTCTCCAACACAAGCATTAATTATCCAAAAAATGTAGGTTGAAAACTAAAAACCACCCAGATTCAAAACATGTTCTTCATCAAGCTTCAAAACCTCACTTTCAAGCTTTAAAATTTCAAATTGTATCAATTTCACATTTCTTGAATTTGTAAAGTAAAGAACTAACCTCCACTCGGAATCCCCATAGGGGGAATAGTAGTCGTAAGAGATATCCTCTTTCCGGACAGAATTGAACATGACAGCCGAAAGAGATGCGAAAATTCCTAGAAAATTACCACCGTAAGGAGCTAAAGAAACCCTAATATACACCGGAGACGGAAAGTAGGCCACGAGCAAAACAAAGAAGAGAGACGAATTAAGCATCCGTACCAGGAAGATAATGGAGGAAGGACACCTTCACGGCGCTACAAACGACGGCGTCAACCCAGAACCACCACCCCGCGGCGAAAACCGCTCCAGACACACCAGGGCCTATGATCTCCCACAGCATCGTGCAGCTGTTATCCATTGCCTGCCTCTTTTCTCTCTCTCCCCCCGCTTTCTTGCTTTCTTGGTGTCGATCGAGATGAGATGGGCTGAAAAGCAGCAATTTGCGCTTGGTTTAGGAATCCGTACCTTCCGGCAACTGGTGGCGTGGTCGTCTTGCCTTCAAAGGAAATTAGTAGGTGGTGGTAAATTTATTCGAGAGCACGGTTGTTTCGGGTGCCAACGAGGAGCATCGCCGGAGGCTTGATTGCTGCGAAACACAATTGTTTTGCTAAAAAATTAATTATTTTAAAACTAATATAAAACATTTAGGGGATGTTTGGTATGAGATTTGGCAGTAGTTTTAAGTAGAATTTAATGTAAATCCAGCCAAACATATTCTGCACGATTGTAGTTCATGTGAATCCGTAAATCCGGGATTTACAGATTTACAACATAGATCCCAATAAATAAGTGTAAATCCTTATTCCATCCTTCAACGGATTTAACATGATTTATAGTTGCTGAAGTTCTTCCCACGGCACTCGTGTCGCAAAGCGTCGCGCGAACTCTTTATCTACATGGAAGACATAGCTTCATCTTCATCGCTTGCCCTAGCCGCTTCCGTAGCATTCCTGTCGAATCCCTCTCAACGTTGTGCAAGTAGCCCCAACCACCGAAACTTTTTTTTATCCAGTACTCGACAATACCTAAAATAACGATAATGTGTTGCCACATCTTTTTGAGTTTATTGTGTGGATTCTTGCTTTCTTGCTTTATATAAGCATGTTCAACCCCTAATGTCTAGAAAATTTTGGCAGTTTTTTGTTTTATTCTAGTTTGCCTCTCATCCCTGAGCCGGTTGGTTGAAAGTTTTGCTCCCCATTCAAGCGGTCTTGGGTTTGAGGATTAATATGAATTCGTGTTTGTAAGGTGTGCCTTGTCACTTTATTACCCCAAAAAAGTGAATTATTCCTCTGGCTAGAGAGAGTGATTTGAGCCTACTTAAATTTATGTTTCCTCCTTAGGATTATGTCTAATTAAAAATAATAATTTGTAGGATATTTAACAGTTTAATAGAATATTTGGTTAAAGATGAAAACATCCATGAAAGTTGAAGAAGCTAGTTTGGGAAATTACTAAATGAGAGTTTTATGTTTTTTTTTTTTTTTGTTGGAAAGAGCATAACTTACTATGTGTTGAATTATATCATAGATCCAAATTAAATGCATTTGAAAATTGTGGAAAGTATTGTACTAATTTGATTGACAAATATAATTTATTGTGTGATTTATTGAGTGTTTTATTGATTATATGATATGTCACCGTGCGAATAAATGAATGCTCTTGTAATATAAATCTTGGTTTCGTCGATATGCATGTAGCAGTGTGAGCGACAACGAGTCATCAAATGATATATACTTACATAAGACTGGTAAAAGTTCTTAAAGGAAAGTTAAAAATTAATGCACTTGGTTGGACAGATTTTAAAGTTCATAGAAATATTTTCCTCATTAATGTTTGACAAAAATGCAGAAATTCCTAAAAGACAAAGGAGTTGGACATCCTAGCTCTAGTAACCCACATAGTGCCGGTGATGACATCTCTATTTACTCCAGCCAACCCAAAAGCACAACTCAAAATCCTAAGTGGCTAGAAGATCATAATGTTGTTCTAGGCGAGCTGCTATTAAAACAATATGTTAATGAGAATATATATGTGGAAGGAACAATAGGCAAGCTTAGTGGCTTCGTTAAACATGGATCTAGGCACAAACTATATAGAATCTTTTGTACTGATACGATTTAAAAACATAAAAGTTGATTTTAGAACACTTTATCAACTGACAAACCGTAACGGATGGGGTTGAGATGATGAGTTACACATCCATGTAGCTACCTATGAGTTGTGGGAGGAAATTCATCAGGTATTATTTTTTCTATTTAGTATTGCATGCAATACATAAATTTCATGTCATAACTAACCAAATTTTATAATTGTAGGTTAACTCAAAGCTAACTCGATTTAGAAGACATCCCTTCCATCGATATGATATTTTTAAGAAGATTTATGCATAGAACATTGCAATAGGAACTGGTGCAAGATCTAGTAAGTTGACAAAATCCATGGTAAAATTAATCGATGACAAAACCCCACACTTCAAAGACAAGTTCATAGTTGCTAATGGTGTAAGCTACGACATGGAAGGAACTCCACACAGCAACCTACCTAACGTTGTAGAAATAAATCCAAGTGAGGAAATTTACCCAAGTCCTATGCTAGGTACAAAAGATCTAGTGAAAAATCGACCAGGTCAACAAGATGTCCCAATAGAAAGAATGGATTGCAAAATCTTAATGAACTATTAGTTGAGTCGAATAGGAATGCATTTGTGTTTAAAGAGACAATTGAACGAAATGATCCTTATATTATGACTGATTGTTTGGCAAAGTTAGGGCAGTTAGAAAACTTGACAAAACCATCTCTCCTAGCTATTCAATACATGCTTAAATAAAATAAGGATAACAAAACAATATTCATGACTTGGGAAGGGGATGTTCTAACCGAATCGATAGAATATGTTATTAGCACACATCCACGGTTTATGCGGCAAAAGTTTGGTTATAGTTGTTTGGTTCATGTAGTTTGATTAGTGTTATTTGACTTATGTTGTTTGCTTCACTTAGTTTGTTTTATGTTATAAGCTTCACTTTGTTTGATTTATGTTGTTTGCTTCATGTAGTTTGATTTTTATTGTTTGCTTCATGTTATTTGGTTGAAGTTTGCTTTCCAATTTAACTTTAATTAATGAATTTAAATGCATTTAATTATGCAGCTATATCTAATTACTTGCGTAGAGTATTCCCTGATGTTTTATGTGACATGATAGACTTATAGCTTCAAGTATTGCTAAAATTACTATATCTCTTATTCAAGAAAATTCTTCCTCGAATGATGAACAATCAATCAGGCGACCAATGTTTGATAGGATATATACTAGACATCGATATGTTCTTGATGTCCTTGTTGGTCATCCGGTCAGAGTGTATTAATGCTTCAGGTTACCTCCAGATGCCTTCATAAGCCTAAGAGATCTACTAGTAATCTGTGGGAATTTACATAACATAAAGAATTTGCTTGCAGTTGAGCAACTAGATATATTCTTGCGAGGAGTTTTACATGCTTATAGTTACCGGCAGTTTGTGAATTTTTTTAACATTCACTGGAAACAATTAGCTGATACTTCAATATGGTTCTACGTGCTATTGTATCATTCACAGATAAATTTGTTAATTTACCCAGTGAGATGCAGAATGTCATCCTTATGTACGTTCAAATACAATGTTTTACCCTTACTTCAAAAATGCATTTGGTGCAATTGATGGCACACATATATCTGCAGTAGTCAGTAACAACTTACAAAATCGTTATTGCAACCGTAAGGGATTCACTTTGCAGAATGTAATGGCGGTTGTAGTGTTATTTGATAGACAGTTCATGTATGTAGCATCTAGGTGGGAAGGTTCTACTGTAGATGTGTGCTAAGATGAACTATGGAGCAAGGTCAATTTGGAGTACCCTGCAATCATTATTACTTGGTTGATTCATGCTACACAAACATTGATAAGTTGATTGCTCCTTTTCAAGGATATTGATATCACCTACCTGATTATCAAGGAAGTAAAACTAGAAGAAGTACACATCAGTAAGATTTATTTAATCATCGACATGCCCAATTTCGAATGTGGTAGAGAGGATCTTTGGAATTTGGAAGGATCATTCTCAAGTGTTGATGCACATGAGAAAGTTTCCTCTTAGTGTTCAAGCTGATTTGGTTATTGCTTGTGTAGTTTTATACAACTTTATAAGTCGATATCATGAACATGATATACGTTTTAATATGTCACGGACAGAAATGGAGCACGATACTGAACGTGGCGAAGTTGAAATTTCAGATGAAGATGCTAACTTGCATACGATAAAAATAGAAAGAATTCAGGGAGAAGTGATAAGGCATGCCATCACAACATATATGTGGAATGCTCGGGTAAGGATTTCTATATGCATTTACAATATTTCACCTTTGAATACATTATTTTGTTATTTTTTATTTTTTTTTTATTTCAGATAAATTGTCAAAGAAATCGATCATCATGAGGAAGATACTCTCCAATGCAATAAATATCAACTTCTATATTATGTTGTAGTATACTATTATATATTAGTGAATTGGTGTCAAAAATATTTATTCATGGTGTCATGTACTCTTTATGCTTTAATAGTTTCTATTGTATGATGTTAAGTTTAATTTATTGTTTTGTATAGAGTTATCTCAAATTTCTAACAGGTGTATTGATATTATTTAATATTACTTCTTCAATTTTAAATCTCCAACTAATTTAAATCATGTAATATGTTGCCAAACAGCTTTTTTGAATTTAACAGGATTTAACATTTATCATACCAAACACTTTTCAGGATTTTATCAACCTAGGATCTACTAAATCCGGATTTACAATATTTACTAATTCCTACTAATTGAATCCAATCTGATATCAAACACCCCCTTACATTAATTTATTTTCCTTATAGCACAAATATTACGATTAATTAACTAGGCTATAAATAATTAGTTAATTACATTAATATTCTTCTTTGAGACATATTATATTTTAAAAAATAAAGAATCTTGTCACATGAGTAGATACAAATAAAATTTTTATTTATTTTGTCACCTAAAAATTTAGCTCAAATAATTTGTATAAAATTATTTTAGGAGTACTCATCTTCATATACTCATTTTTTACCTCTTTATCAGTTGGTGCTTAAGACTAAATTTGGAGCAATTTTCTTATTGCTTTACTTTTCAGATCACAATCATGATTTCTATTTGGTAACTATTTTTTACTATTTTAAAAAAAATTTATACTTAAAAGCTACTTTCTACAACAGCTTTAAAAATTTACTTTTTCTATAACAACTTTATAAAAATATAAAAAAATTATCTCAAATGAAGCTTAAGTCATCAGCCTACATCTACAGTAGAAGAATCAAGATATATTTTTCTAGCATTATTACTTATTAGTTCCCATTTGCTTGGGTAAATGTAACTTGTGAAGTATCAAAGTAGATGACAAAATTATGAATGAATATCATGCTCTCCAATAAGAATAATATCA